GAGCATGTGTAAGGCCTCTGACATGCCAAAAGCACTGAGGTGGACCTCAGTACCCTGCTGCTTCAAACACAAGTGCCTACACAATGCAAGCAAAAGCAAAACATCCTAGAGCCAGGAGCAGTTCCTCACAGAGGGCCTAGCTGGCCAGCATTAACCATAGGCAAGAGCAGCTGAACCAGCTGATTTATCATTTCAGTCCCCCACCTTGAAACCTTCCTAGTAGCTGATATATTTTTGGTGTTCAGGATTCTTAGGCTGCGATTATCCCAGATTTCATTTTGCCTTAATGTCACCCCTTGAGATGTCCTCTAATCCCACAGGTAGGATGAGAAGGGAGGGCTTGAGCTATATGGAAACAAAGCTAGGACTTCCATAAGGGTTTTCTTGGATTTCTCTACCCCCAAATAGGTGGATTTCCAGCTCAGTCTGTCCGTTTGTCACCTGCTCTTTGAGGCTTACCAAGATTTGTCTCCACATAGTCCAAGCTGAAGGCTGGTCCAAGCACAGGGCACAGTACAACATCCAGGTCAAGGTTCTTCCATCGGGTGATGAATTCCCAGCGATAAACCTAGCCAGAGAGAGTCAAGAAATTGTTACAGATTCCAGGATGCACCAGCCTCCTCCTCTCTAGGGAGCCTGTGGTGCTTTGCCAGCTCCACAGATGATGAGAGTGGTGCAACCCAGCCCCATCACAGCACTGAGTCCAGGGAGGGCTCAGGAGCTTGTACCCTGTCTATACAATCCTATCACCCTCTGCAGCACATTAGCAATCAATATGAACCTGACATTTTTTACCCCCGACAGCACTGTATCTTGCACTCATTTGTAAGCTGTCTGGGAGCACTATTAGAGTTGCACAGACTAGAGTAGTGACTGAAGCTTTAGGGTATTTGCTTTCAGCAAATAGGTGAACAGCATGAGTAGGCTGCAAGCACCAGGAAAAAGGGTACCTGTTTGGACCTGTCACCAATAATTCCCACTTCTCTAAAAGTGTCTTGCTGCTTCTCTTTGAGGACAAAATCTTTGATGCTGACAAAGACATACGCTGACTTCTGGGAAATCTTTTGCTTCCCATGGCTGTAACAGCAGAAATGTCCTCTGTGGAGCAGTAAAATTCAATTCTGCATTTTTTGCAAGAAGCATAAAGCCACCTGGGATTCAAAACACACTGTTTCCTGCATGGGTAGAGATCTTACAAAAATCAGGGTCCAGGATTTTATCTGTGCATGCCACACAAGAACCTGAGAACCTATGTCAAACAGCCATCACCATCACACCAGTGGCGAGACAACCTCCCTCAGGAGCAGGGATGGTATTCATCACATTCAAGGAATCCCATTACCATCATGGCAGCATGGAGGTCTGCGAGTTCCTTGGGTGACCTGCAATGAGCCAAACACAAGCGATGGTCACTGAGCGGGTGTGCAGCCTCCCTGGGAAAGGGCACAGAATGTGTGCCATGCAGTAAAGCCACTAACCCCACACACATGGCCCTGAGAGGTGCTGCAGCAAAACTCTCCTTAACCTGATCCTCACACTGCACAGTGGGTCCCGCTGAAATCTCACTACACATTTATTGTGACTCTGTAGCCACACAGTGATTACAAGAACAACTCTTGGGGCTGTGCTTCCTGTCAGCAGGGAAAGGAAATCACAATCTTATGACTGTTCTTATGTCTACTACTTGCAGTTGCCATTTGGCTAATGCACCCATCAGAACAGTTGTTCTAAAGCGGAGAGCCTGACCAGAGCTTGTGCTCAGCTTTCTTCCCTGCATTATACTGCAAAGCCCCTTTCTGCAGCATCCTGCTGCCACCCCAGTGTCTAACACCCAAAAGGTTCTTACCGTGCTCCACATGGCAGGTCCAAGTAGCTGGCAAAACTAGGGAACTGCAAAAGAATTAACAGTGGCCATCAGTGGACAAGCTGAGGATGGCTGTGGCTGCAACAGGCTGTGGTTTGGTTCTGGAATAAGTGGGCTTGGTCCCCACGCTACTCCCAGAGTAACTGAATCCCAGCCCTTTCTGTCAGAGCTGATGATTCTGAGTTGTCAGAAGAGCATCAATGTTCGGAAGTGACCTGGGAGACACGAGGCAAAATCCCATGGCCTGGGGGTCAGTGGGCTTTCAGACATCCCAAGCTGTGCTGCAGTGTTCCTGTCTGACCTTGGGCCACCAGTTACAAAGCAGAGTCCACACTGTCAGGCTACCACAGGGTTCGAGCTTGCCTTTGGGTCCACACCGTTTTAGCTTTGGCTATTGCTTCACCTTGAATCAACCTTTCTCTTGGGTATGTGGCCACCTTGGTCCAAGCCCACCACCACCATCCCAAAACAGTTGAATCAAGCCTGGCAGCTCCAATATCTGGGTTCTCCTTTTGTTGACACTGCTGTGCTGTTTGGAGCAACTCGGGATCCCTGAGGTGGACCCAGCACCCTCCTTATCTTCTGAGAGATGTGGCCCTCCGCACCCAGGCAGGATGTGGTAAATGGCAGGCCACTCACCAAGGGCTTTATGAGACAAGCCAGGATCTTTCTTAGCAGAGTTGGGAGCCCATCACAGCGGATGAAGTGGCTACAGCCTGGATCCAGAGAGTCCAGTTTGCTTGGAGGGAAAGACAAGGATGAGGTGGGCACAAGTCAGTCGTATTGCTGACAGTGAACGAGGTATCAGTGTCTGATTTATTGACACCAATACACGAGCAGAAACCCTGCAACCAAACAAAGCCTGCACCTGGGAAAGTCTCACCATCTCCTGGTGACCCTGAGTGTTGTAAAGCAAAAAATGAGGCAGAGCTCTGTTCCCACCCAGAAAAGACCCCTATGGTTCTGTGCTCTGGGACTTCAGTCTCACCAAACAGCTTATGATTAAGCAGGGGAAGCAGTTAAACAGGGAATAAACTATTTGTTTGTCCCCACTCGGGCTGCAGTTATAATCTAGCCAGGGAGTGGGACTTTTCATCTGGGTAAGGGCCGCTCTTAGACATCTGAATTTGGCCCAAAGGGGCAAGACGAAGAGCAGATGTTGTTACTGTGGATGTTTTAGCGCATCAGATGTGCTGCAGCCTGCAATACTAAGAGCCATCCCACCTCCCCACAGGGACCTAGCACCCTTTTCTCACTTGTCCCAGGTATAGAGGCAGAGATAGGATGCACCAGCCATACCACAAGCATGCAGAAGCATAGTTGCTGTCAGCAAAGAGCCCTTTCACAAACAAGCTGTTCATTGCATAGTCAACACTGGGAGGAACGAAGGGGATCATCTGCGGGAGGAAGAGGACAGAAACTCAGTATAAGAGCTGATTCGCTGTCTCTGGGAGTGAGTTTTCTGGTGTCTATTAATAAATACCCATCACTCTTCGCTCTTGGAGGATCATTATGGGAGCTTCTCCCTTCTCCCCTGTGTTGGTAGTCTACATTCATGAAACCTTTGAGGCTTTCTTACCTTGGATACCTCAGTATCTTTGTTGAAGTGAGATAAATTTGGCTGAAGAGTCCAATAAGAGAAGGAAAGAATAGACAAAAAGGCACATGTGTATGTGCATTCATGCACACCCAAGGGGCCCACCTAGCTAACCTACCGTGTGTCCAGCCTCCTCGAGCAGCAGACGGGTCTCATAGACAGCCCGAGTCACACAGGGTGGAAGCAAGAAGTATCCATCCAGGGAATAGAAGCCAATCCGAAGGGGAGTGGGGCTGCTAAACACCTGTGAGAACAAGGAGCTAGAGAATGGGTGGGGAGAAGCCCAAGGTGAAAACTTCACACAGGGCTTAACCTCTTCTGCATTATCTTTCCTCCCATTCTTCCCACTATCTTCTGCCCTCATCACTTGTGGTCGGTCTATCTCAGTCTTTATGGAGTTTAGTCCCAGGATAACTGCAGAGATGTCAACCCATGATGCCAGGATTTTGGCTCAGGTGGGAACCTAATGGGCATTAGTTCCATGTATTGACTCGCCACTCTTTAATAACTACCTCCATGTTGAAGGCGATGGGTGGCACCGTGGGGTCCAAGCAGAACATGTCTTCACACAAAAGTGCTCTCATGCACAAGACCAGACTGTCCACATCTTTTGCTATTGGTCCCACCACACCTGCAGCTGCCACAGAGAAAAATATACACAGCTTCTAGGCTAAATACCTGTTCCTCAGTTAAGCTGGTAAAGGTCATAGGATATGTCAAGAGTGGATGTGTTGCTACCACACAAGATCATCTTGCTTTCCTTCTTTCCTTCCCACCTCCCATGACCATCAAAGAAGATCTTTTATTATGCAGATACCAAACAGAGACAGGAAA